TCTGTTTTTTACCTGCAGTGTCATGGTTTCAGTCATGTGCATGAGTAAAGCTTTTCAGTAAGTCGCATACTTAATTCTTTTTCATTTCTTTTTATATCAGTTGTTTTTATTTCTAGTTATTTGACACCGCCTTCAAAACAACTTCACAAGTGACTACCTTAGTCTCAAAAAATGCAAAGTAAAACATCTATAAAGCACTGTTATGCATCAAAACTTGGTACAGAGTAATTCGATGAAACGGCCCTTAGCGATTCGATGAAACGGCGTTCGATGAAATGTCCGCTACCCCTCAAACATCGATAGACTGGACCACCTTCCCGCCTCGATTGCTACCATCACTCACATTTTGTTTTGTTTAAACATGATATTACTAATGGCACTTTATAGTTAATATATTACAACTCTCTTCCTTCTTCAGTGTACTTAACTTGAAGGTATTTAAAAAAAAGAAAAGAACAACAACCCGTTTCCGCTTGTTATGCTGGCGACGCAGGCCCCGTTTATCGAAACGAGGAGTGGCATAGCACCGACCGGATCGCCACCAACCGGATCGCCAATGTGCTACCATCAAGCCGACAAACCTCATAGCTTCAAGACACGACTGTCCACCATGGTAGCACCCGAAAGAGGTGCTGTCTATTCCGTTCCTGAGCTGCGAGTTTATGATGGAGCCTTGGAACACAGATTTCCTGATGCCTTCATTCTTGAAGAGCATCAAATTTTGGCGGCGAGTTTAGCAGCGATTTGGTCGTTTTGTCACTGAAACGATAATGCCTTGATGGTTTTGTTGATAATAATGTTGAAAAAAGTAGTAAAATAACAACAAACTTCCTCTTATTTCTTATGTAGCATAGCATGAGCGATCTCGTGCATCTGCACGAAATTTACATAACTGCCTGTAGCTAGAGATGCTGCTTAATTATTTCGAACTTGGGGGCCGAACCAAATGGTTCGAAAGCTTCGAACTTGCGAAATCGAACCTCGGGGATTTGTAAGTTTCCGACCCCAGGAATTTGAATCTCGCCTAGGTTTGAAGTTTGCAACATTTTTTTAACTCGGAAATCTGGGCCCACCTACTCGAAAGAGAGGCCTATAGATGAGTCTGAGTGAAAGAAAGCCTGCCAAGCCTGGGACGCGCAAGCACTTGAGTCTGGAGTTAGCGTTCCACTTCGTTCGCGCTCTATGCCTTGGCTGCGCTTTATTTCATCGAGTCTCAGCTGAGACCCTCGTAGAGACGCCTTTTTTAGCAAGCCGGCCAAGGAGGTTGGCAACATGTCTTCTTGTAGCTTTAATTTTGATATGAGCAATGCATTAATCAATTATTTTTTTAAGTTGTACCTGAGGAGCTTGGGCCTTCCGCTGAAGAAGAAAAGCAGCTGGAAGTAAACAGGAGGCAGCAATCCTTCAGCAAGGAATGGCATTTTGCCAGAGTGCATCGATTGACCGCGTCTGCGTTTGGTGCAGTTCTGATACAACAGGACAGGACTGAAAAGGGTCTGAGGGATGTATTAAAGCCCAAGGATCTGTCGCGTGTGCGTGCAATTCAGTATGGCCGGAAAAATTAGCCCCTCGCTGCAGAGCGACGTGCTTCTTTATTGAAAGGTGCTGGTCACTCAATTTCCGTGCAGCATTATGGCCCTGTGATTAACCCGAGTTGTCGTGGTCTTGTCCAGTTGTCATGCGACTTTGACTTTGAGGTGGCTTGTCATACGACCGCCTCAAAGTTCGCACAATAAGCATATATCATAATTACATTTATTAAAATGTTAATTAACAAGTTTTAGTTAATTATTCTGATAACTGTTATGGCTTTAATGCCGTCTAATATCCGCCGAGCCATATAAACAAGCAGTGAAAACCACATATAACTATTCCTCCTTTATTTAAATATTTGGAGCAGCTAAAAAAACACACGCCGTATATATGCTCATTTATATTAACAATGAATTTAAGATTATGTGTACACTGATAAATTTGCGTTCTTGAACTTCGGTTTTGGGAATCTTAGCATCTTTATGGCATTTCAGACTACATGGTTTAAGAAATGGTACAGGTTTGTTACAACTACACGGCTCTTCCGAAAACAAGAAGTGCTCTTTTGAGCGAGCTGCGAAATGTAGGGCGCTACTTATTTCTAGGCAATACTTTCTTTTCATTCGTAAGTTCAGTTTATGTCGCTGTTATTAATAAAAAAAATGTTCGCGCCATGGTGGCAACACATGTTGGGACTCTGGCCTTGAAGAAGCTAAAACAACCTTAATGACACAAATTAAAAAAAAAAAAAAAAATATTAGCAACAGCGCTTGCTGCATTGGAGAATTCGCAAAATAGAGGGGTAATATGACGGCTGTAGGGCGGCGCGTACCTGACGATCAAGTAATACTTTTCTAGTATTTCCAATCAAAACTTGTTTAAGGAAAAAGAAATATGTCTGTCGGGGTTAATTACATTTCTCCTGTTCACGTTCAACTAGCAAGTCTCTGTTTACTTTTCATATAACCAAGTATTCGACATTATTGTTGCATTTACCTTCTTGGGGAAACATCATTTACCGTGTTTAATTGTGCCAGGGGACGCTATAAGTCATAAAGGTGCTAAACGATGATGGTACTAATTACGCATCACAATGCCAAAACTGGATGCCGGCGTGAGCACCTTCCGAGTTCTTAGATTTACAAACAAGTGTCACATCATATTTTTTTGTAATCAATCTAGCTCACAATTATGTGACTAGCTCACAGGATAGAGAGAAAGTAGGATGTCACTAGGGCTCGCCAGAGCTAGAATGTCCGTAGACTCTCCCAATTCTAGATCTTCATAGACTCTCTTTTGAAGTTAGGACGTCTATATAGAGCGTTGACGCGTGATGCTATGGACGTCCTAGTCACCGTTTACGGCTATCAAATAGAGACTAAGCAGGACACGAATTCTCCATAGAAATCCACCCCCTACCATAGAATTGCATTAGAAGTAACAGCACGGAGGTAGCCGGTCCGATTTTAGTAGGGGCTTTGCATCTTCACGAAGCAGGTGTACACAAATGATTGCATTTGATTCAATGAAAATACTTTTGTGAAGCGGATATCGAATTGTTTTACTCAGATTACGGGGAACTCAGCTCTTGCTTGATATACTGATTCCAAATACAAATCCGCGATAAAACTTTGCTAAAACTCGAGGGCTTAATACAAGGGCTGTTGATGTTCCCGCGCCATGTTAGGATGTCCGTAAGCCATCTTTACCATCTGAAACAGCGTGTACAGCAGAAACTGCAAAGGAAATGAAGGTTGAAACGTACTTTGTTACCGTTGGGATTCGTGCTTCGTCGCTGATGGTACTGCGGGACACAGCATTGCGACGGCATCGCTACTTTCGTGCGAGCGTTAGCGGCTTTCACGTGCTCTTTAGCCCGCCGCAGGTAAGTTTCTCGCCGCAACCAAGATGGCGGGCGTAGTTCTCGGCGCGCTACGGGATGGCTCTGTGCATTTCAAATATCGTCTAATGTGACCAACATAAATACTGTACGGTTTAAAGAACTCCGTGAGCGTTTGCATTATGACTAATGTTGGTTCGAATTTGTGTATTTTTTTGTACTTTGATATTTATAATAATTCGATTGGCACAGATCTTGTATAATGTTCATCATGTATTCTCCATTTCTGACAATCCCTCATATGTAATGCTTCCAGAAAGACGCCTGCAACGTAAATAAATGAAACGAAATGAAAACAAAGGTTGCCAGCTTGGGCCTCAGTCATTTATTTTATCACGAGTTCAACAAGAGTGTCAGCTGCCGCATACGTTCTTTTCTGACCTTTATTATTGCAGACGTCTGGCCGTCCATCCCGAAGCTTCATACTTTTGCCTACATACATATTACAGCCTTTGGTGAGTGGCGGTCTTGCTGACACATACTGGAATGACTGAGAACCCAGGCCATCCTTTGTCGGGAGAGCACCCACAAGATACGTCGTAATAACTGCATTCATCTGTGCGGTATTCATGTGAAGAAGTAACTATAGACATATATGTATCATTTTATGTACGTAATGATCCACAATCATTGCCTCCAAATAATCCTAGAAAAAATTTTTATATTATTTTGAAGGTTGTGAATCGATTAAAAGTGGTTAATCTGATTTAGCGACAGCATTCCTTTAATCGATAAATTATTCGAGAAATCGGTTTCGTTAATTCCCATGCATTTTAATAAAAAAAAATAAAAAACATATTTTTTTGTTTTTGTTTTTGTCGAATTTGCGATTAACGACGCAATGTACAATTTAGGATTTTAAATCAACCTTGATGTGTAGTCGAGAACAGTCAAGAGACGCCCACACTCACAAATTATTACTTCAGCCTCAGAGGAAAAGAGGTTCGTTGATATTTTCCGGCAATAGCGAACCCCTTTGTTTGTTCACAAAAGTCTGTTACGCTAGACGAACATGTGCAGGGCGATTAACTGGCCGGGTCACGTATAACCTTCGCCAATTTTTGAAGTTACGAATATTTAACCCGTGCAGTTTACTTTAGAGCAAAGATTCACCTAACGTTTGCCTTCCTACAGGTGTCAACGTCCACGTCCGTGTATTGAAAATGTTGAATTTTTATTTTTGTTTGTTTGTCAAAATATAACCAATTAGCCGGTTAAAACAATTAATCGGGATTAAACATTACTCAATTAATCGGTAGGTTATTTCATTATATGCCTAGCCCTAATTATTATTTTCTATTCAGATAAGCTCTTCATGTTTTATATGTTGTAAGAAGGCAATCAAGCTTCAAATAGATAGGTTTTGCTTGGGATAGTACTTAACTAAACCAGAAAAATACGCACCTTTAATGACAGGAACACCGACGTGTTGGATTTGAGTTACTTGGTCACGCTTACGTTTATAAGATATTAAGTGGTATATAAACGGTAAAAATGTTTAGCCGCGTTTTGAGCAAATATCTGTGAGTCTTTAACAGCTTTAATGCAAAATCTGTGGACAAATACGAAGGTTTAATTAAGTATCACTTTATTAAGATCTCAAGAAATTACAAAATACGAATAACTAAAGTTTAGTGTGGCAGTGTAGGTTCAATTGAACCCTGAGTGGATGAATTACGACAAAGATAGATTGGCGGCCCTGCCTACCAAGAGGTGCCCCTCAGGAGATCTGTTCAAGCCAGCCACCCAAAATGTGCAGTTGGATCCTTCTTCCGGAAGATCTAGAATAAAAAGCGAAACAAATGCTGTACATGTTTCCACGGCACTTTCGCAATGCAGGACAATTTCAATAATAATTTAGGAGGTTACTTTGGTTACCTTAAGTCTTCCCGAATTCCTTTACCTTCTAACAAGATCCCACCTCTATATCCTTTTAAGTTTTATCTTTTCGATAATTAGTATAATATCGGCGAAGAGACAACCCGGAAAAAAATTTATGAGTAGGATTGTGTTAATAATTAGACGTGTATGTGCACAACCTCTAGGACCAAATCTTAAGGTGGTGCCCCAACGCTTTCCTCGTGTATGCAGTATATAACCAGTAGATATTCAAAAGTTACCTTGAACAAGCAGTTGACATTCCCCAACAGTTTTGGTTTGTTTTTCGTTTTTGGGACATTCCCATGATACAATGTAGCTGCTCAGCGGTCCAGCCGGCACAGAAGGACGCTTCCACGTTACAAGTATGCCGCCTTGATACTGAAACTTCAATCCGTGTGGTTCAGTTTTAGCTAGAACCGTCAATCCGGCTGGTTCACCTGGAGCTAGAAAAGAAAGCGTGTTGATTTAGCAATTCTTAACCGATGCAACCGATTTATGGGAGTCCCTAGCGATCGTTGCGTAGCCTCCCCAGTTGATAGAGAGAAACAGCTGTAGAGACAAAATGGAATGATTTTTGAACGATGCGAATCGCATTAACATACAAATTTCACTCGAGAACGGGAACATCAGAAAAAAGAAGGAAACAAGCCACCTATATAAGTGTATAGGTTGTCCCTCTTTTAGTTGTTCCAGTCTCAGGTTAAATATAGATATTGCAGACAAATGTCCTTTATATTTTACACTATTAGCATTCAAATTTTGTTTCCACTAGGTAATTGTCGTGTAAAGTTTACTGGTGCGTTTGCTGAAATTCACACGGAAATATGACAATGTTATGTTGACAAAGTGAAGAACACGCTTGACATATATTTTATAAATAACTACGGTAGCTCTAAAATTTTATGTCATGTATATAATGGCATGTTTCAATCTCCCATAAAAGCAACGTTTTTTGTGCTACATTCCCTGTTTCAGTTTCCAGATTGGGCAAACTCTAAATAGCAAACGCAATCGAAATGTAGTATGTTCTGATACTTTTAATGCCACAGAAATCTGTAAAATATGTTTTTAGAACATATATGTTTACATGTGTTTTCAAGACAATCTCTCTGACACTATATTCTGAGGAATGTTTTGGCGTAAAAAAAAAAAAAAATAGACGACTTCTCTTTTGACACGTCTGCCATGGAAACAAAGGTTAATTTTTAGTTTGAACACTGCAAACTTAATGAATAGTTATTCTTTTAATATAATTGACAATGGGGTTGCCAAACATTGCCGCTAGGAGTGAACCGATTTCTTAATTGATAGCTTGTTCTAAAGTACTGCTGAAAAACGATGTATAAGACTAATGCTCTACTGCACTTGCAACCAACACAGTTTTTTTTTTATAATTCAGCGTTTCTCATACACCTTCCTATATAATGCACGGATAGGTAGCCAAGATGGTAGGTTGAGGGCTTCTAGAATGCTATATACTCATCGGTGTAATCGCTAAAGGCAGCTGTAAGGAATGGTTTATACAGGGTGTTTGAATGTAATTTGAACATATTTGCTTTTATCAAAAATAGGGGGTGAAGGTTAGAGGAGTATTGTCTTCACTATGTATTTACTAGGCTCGGCGGACATTAGCTGAAGGAAATATCGTTATGCTAAGTTGACTAATTAGCTAAAAGTTATTAATTTTTTTTAACATTTGGTTTAGGGATCACGTTGTAATTGCAGTTTTCACGACGAGTACTATTAGAGGCCTAAACAATTAGAATAGTTTTCAAAAATCTAATGATTTTCAGATTTCAATCAATACATTGTCGGTAATTTTCGCCCGATTTCGAAATTATGCTCAGAGAGAACATCAAAATAATGACGCTCGTCGTTTCAATCATGTCATTTTATCGGCAGCGTGTCCTTGGTAGGTTCGCCGGCTAAGGAAACTTGTGCGAACTTTTTGGTGTAATTTCTAAATCTACGAGAAAACGCGAAGATGGATCGATTAATGTCTAAAAGAAAACAGCTACCTTTTTGAGCATTGTTTAAATTGGTCTGGCCTCTGATAGTAACTGCCGGCACACTGAAGTTCTGAAATGTCGCCTAAAACGAATATTTAAAAAGTTGATTAAGAAATTTCAGTCACTTAGTTAACTTAGCATGACGATTGTCCCCTCATCGAATGTCCACGAAGCTTGATAGCTATGTAATGAAAACATTACTCGTCAAACTTTCCTCCACTACCTACAAAAATCATTATGAATTGAACACCCTGTATATGTGCTTTAGAACCCTTAGGCTCAAGAAATATCCTCGGTTCGTAGAAACCAGTTTAGTCTCAGAACATCTATAAAGAAGATGAAACTTCGTAAAAAAACTGCCAAAAGCGTTTTTGTTTTGCGAGCGGCTGGCAGTTCTTTTTTTACAAAGCACTTCAAAAAAAGGTTGTGCGTCTGCTTTTCCACAGAACACTCGATTATCCAATCACCGCAACGTACAGAGGCAGCTGAGCGAATGACGATGCCAAAACATATGATTCGACAAAAAAAATCGCAGTCTGAGTTGTGACATTAAGCAATGCAAGCGTGACGTTTTGTACTGCTTAATGCCACGACTCAGACTGCGTTTTTTAGACTAATCATATGTTTCGACATCGCAATTCGCTGAGGCGCATCTTTAAGTTGCGGTGATTGGCTATCCGAGTGTTGTGCCGGAAAGTAGATGCACAGACTTTTTTAGAGTGAGGATCCCCGTCGGGCCTACCATAGCCCAGCAAGCTCTGAGCTCTTAAGATGCGCCCAACATCCGCTTTTCAAACATTAGAAATGTATGCAAAAAGCATATAAATCACCCATTTCAGAAAACTTCTAAGCCCACAGAGGCATGGTGTTCCTCCGTGTAAGCTACTCCTCCGAGAAAATGGTACAAGGTTCTGGAGCTCTACGCGAGGCCACAGGTGCAAAGCACGAAAGCTTGACGTAAGAGCACCGGCGCCAGGCAGGTTTAACAAAAGCAGTGCGACTGATTGAAATATTGCAGGTTCCAGCCAGACCCCCGTAATGCTCCGATACCGTTCTGTTGGATCAGAGCCCTACCGTACGATGGACCTCTTCTGTTTTTCTGCTCTTGAATCTAACAAAGGGGATCGCAATTTTTATGTAATCATCTCCGTGTTTTAGATAGGTAGTGGCTCTGTGTTTTACTAGGATATATGTACAGGAACACGTTGAACCGAGAGCGTCAGAAAAGTTTATAATAAGTGGCTATGCGCGTAACATTTAAGGTTTTCTTCAACGTTAGAAATCAAAACAAAAATAATATTAAAAATAGGTATAACATAATTTTTTCAATGTTAAATTTAAAAGTTCAGTAAATGGCTGCTGAAATTGTAATATTTTACAAATAATAATTAGTTTCCACGTCCACTACGCCTTCAGGACAGGATAGCAATACTTATTCAAGTGCTTGACCAGGATTAGGCAGGCGGATTCGGATGAAGCAACTTTTCCCACAAAATGTGAAAAAAAAAAACCTTAGGAGAACTTGTCGTATACTCTTTCAGACAGGTTGGCGAATTACGTTTTGCAGGCTGTGTTATGCACGTGGTCCGTCAAAGTCAGCGACAGATGAGTGCAATTGATAAGAATTGCCATAGATTTCTGGTGGCACCAAGAAAATAGCAGAAAGAACGAAAGTATATTTTCTACTTCCCGCTGAATCAAGTGATAAATCAAATATTCTCAGTTGAAAGTTATCTCTTTTTATTCTTTAAGAAGCCTCCGTGAGTTACAGCGTGTGCCCTAAATAATATACAAGCTTTTTATTTTTTTTCTAGCAGAAATGTAGCTTTAGCGGTCTGGACAAGGTTCCAAAGTTTTAGAGTATGCCGTTATCTAATTCAAAAAGTTCAAAGAGATTTTCTCTCACTTTTAATGAGAGAGTGGCGGCCGTTCCAGGTTGTTGACGTTATTCATTTCCGTTTACATGTGGACTTCGCCGGCAGGCATTTGCGCGTTAAAAATTTCCGACAATCACTCATATTTGTTTTTAAATTAGATAATGGCAAGCTCTGAAACTCTGGCATCTTGTCCGGACCGCATGCGCGACATTTCGGCAGAAAATAAGTGTTCGGCGGTGTATAGTTTATTTTGTGGGGGGAGCCGCGTCGTCCTGTGTACAGGGAGCTTTACAGTTATACTTGCGAGCATGGTGGAAACATATACGTGTTGGCACTATGCTGTTCGATAGGACTCCAGAAAACGCTTTACACTGCTGGTAGAAACTTATCAAATTGTGAAAGGGACTGGAGTTCAACGAGGGATATTCTTTGTGATCATTTGGTGTTAACGTAGAGCGTATATGGATTCGCGACTTTAACTTTCTATAGGCGGCTCCAATAGATTTTCGAAATGACAGATATAGTAAGGGTCAGAGATGCGTGATATATATCAATTGCTGAGCCTGTATGGCCTGCTTACTTTACTGAGCGACACAAACTATTTCTGCTTTCACGAGGAAGCTAGACTACTACGACGGATTTCCTCTTTCTCCCGAGAACAGAACAAAGTTCAGGATAATATTTAGGCCGTGAGAAACACGTTAAATGAGGAGCGAAACTGAAACTAACTTATATTTTGTACTTAATGCCTTGATATCTACACTCATTTCGGTCTCATTCCTTACGCGAAATGTGTCTCACAGAGTAATGAATGAGTTGAATAATATTGCCAGGTGAGATTGCTTCTTGTGGCTCACATGTCCTAGTTAGGCACTTAGATAATGTTTTTTTTTAGAGTTCATAGCTAAAACAGGGTTTTTCATTCACCTAAGAGTCCATATATAGTATGTTGTTTTTGTTGAGAAAATAGGAGCTGAATTTATTGCCTTTTTTGCGTGTTCTTAGTGTTCTTTTCCCACTATGATAAGTTTAACGAAAATAATAAACATCCGGTTCCTTAATACGTTTTTGGGTCTTTAGGTGACTCGTTGTTTATGCTCTCTCAAAGAGAAAAAAAAGCAATACAAGTGTTTGCAAAATATAATTACCGGTGACGAGTTTAGAATATTTCCACCAATTGCACAAATTAAGGCACGGTGTACTGACTATGAAACCCATACCAAACGGTGTTGACATTATAAAAAGCTAGCATGACACACTCATGTAAAACTGACAGTAATAGTAGATACATTATAGGGGGTACACTCAAAGTCTCCACCTTTGCGAGATATGTTATAGAAAAACATTTCAAAATTTGCCGCCAATCCTTTCAGAACAGGTATTTTGAAAAAATCTGGTGTCATTGTTTTCATAGTTATAAAATTTACCAAGTCATTTATTTTCTTCAATTTTTTCAAGCCGTCGTTTTTCCGATTTTAGCCTTTCCATTTCGAAGGAACGCTTACATGCTTGCACGTCTGTTCACCGTATCGCAAATCGTTATTCTCGGTAAACTGG